TCTCAAAAAAAAAAAAAGCCTCCATGAGCATCTATGATTGCTATTTAAAAACCGAATAAAGAAAGGAAGGAAGGATGAAAGAAAGAAAGGGAGAAAGAAAGCATGAAAGAAAGGAAAGAAAGATGAGGAAAGGGAAAAAAAGGAAAACCATAGTAATGAACATAGAAGGAATTAAAAAATACAAGTTATTTCACAAAATGTAGTGGTAGGGAAAAATGCAGCTGGGGAAAACACAAGAATCATCTCAGTTGAGACAGATTTACCATATTTCCACCCCACGATGTCTCCATTGGAGAGATATCCAAAGGACGTCCATACTTGATATTAAGAGTCTGAAATACACACACAATCAGGAATGATGTTATCTGCTAATTAAATGAGTGTTTATTGTAATTTTAAAATGTATTTTAGATGTTTCTAGTACTGGAACTCTTGACCTTGGCCCTAATTGGTCACAAACCTGATAAAGACCACATTTACTGATTCAGCAAATATCTACAGTGTGTCAGCTACTGTTCTAGGTGTTGAGGATACCCTGGCGAATAAGAATTACACAATCATAGCCTTTATTGAGTTTATGGTTTGGTGGTAAAACAGACATTGAGCAAATAGTTATCTTTCCAAATCAAATGATTTCAATGATAACTATTGCTATGAAGAAAAAGTACAGGGTCCATAAAAATATATAATGGGGGGCTAGTCAGAGAAGGATCTTCTGAGGTATTGGCACTTACTCTGGGACTCGAAAGATGACCAGGTTTTGGCTAATGAGGAGGGGTGTTCTAAACAGATGGAAGAGTAAATGTGAAGGACTAGGGGTAGGGAGAAGTTTGACAGGTTAGGAACAAAGAGAAGGCCAGCATGGGGATAGAGAAGGATAGCAAGTAGTGTTAGGTGAGCAGGAGTCAAATCGTGCAAGGTTTTGTAGGCCAAATTAAGGATATTTAACTTTCTTCTAAAAGTAGGATGAGCTTCTAGAGGGAGATAAACATAGGCATCTTATGATTATAGTATTTTTTTAAAGATCACTCTAGGACTAACCATGTCAGATGTTAAAGCATCATACAATTATTAAGACAGTACTGGCATATGAATTTAATAGCAATTCAATAGACAGAACAGAAATTCCAGTGTTAAAACCCAAGTACATATAGGAAATTTGTATATAGTAAATATGACCCTTCAAATAAGTGAGGGAGAGATGGATTACTTGTTACCATTTTTGGATACCTAAGTAACTTTCTAGAAAAAAAGAAAATTGGACTTATGCTTTGGAAATTTAAGGACACACAGTGAAACTATAAAAAAAAAAAACCCAAGAAATCATGGCAGAAGTATAAAAAGTAATACCATTTGTGAGGAATTGCTTTTCTGTGGAGGTTTCACAATCTAAACATCATGATAATGATCGTTGGTCAGCCTAGGCCTTGAAGAAGTGGCAGTGAATGAATTCAAGGCATATTTTGGAGGTTGAGTCAGCAGGAGCAGGTGAATGGGAGGAATGGGGGTGGTGGGGAAGGAGGGAGGGAGTTGGAAGATGACGAAGATGACTTACTGACTTCCAACGTTATAGTCTGTGGGAGCCCAGTGGGTGGTGAGGCTGCATACTAAGATGGAGAAGAAGGGAAGAGGGGTTGTTGCAGGGATGATTAAAAAAAATTTACCTTTGTTTCTTTTTTCAATTTTTTTTTATTGTTTGGAATTCATTAAGGGTACAAAGAATTAGGTCACACTGATTGCATTTGATAGATAAAGTCCCTGTTATAATTGTGTCCTGTCCCCAGGAGGTGTGCCAGGCATTGTGACCCCTGTTCCCCTCCCTCCTCTCCTCTTCTCTCACTTTTTTTTTTTTTTTGAGACTTTTTTTTTGAGAATTTCACACTATGTTGCCCATGGTAGGGTGCTGTGGTGTTACAGCTCACAGCAACCTCAAACTCTTGGGCTTAAGTGATTCTCTTGCCTCAGCCTCCCAAGTAGCTGGGACTACAGGTATTAGATAATTGCCTCAGAAAGCCCCTCTCCCCCGAAAGCCCCTTCCTACCCTTAAAGTTACAACTCCTCCCCTAGTACAGGGAGTGACCTGCTTACCTCATCACCCTGTTCCAATTTCCCACTGCCCGCCCCTATGGCTCTTTCCTCTAGAGCAATAACTCCTTATAGGTTATCCCACCAGCCGTCACCATTCTGAGACTTCCCTAAATAAGGGTACATGCCTGCTCCTTTCTTTCTCTTTTTCCCCTCTTCCCCCTCGCTCTTCTCTACTCTCTCTTCTCTTCCCCACTCTTTCCTTATCTCTCTCCTCTCTTTTCTCTCCTCCTTGGTGCTACTCTGCAGCCTCCCTCCCCCCACCAATAAAGACCTTTCATACAAGCCTCGGTAGTCTGTGAGATCTCTGCTGGTCAAAGTGCCTCTCTTTCAACAGGTGCCTGTCACAATGCCTGGCTATTTTTTGTTGCAGTTTCATAGTTGTTTTAGCTGCCCTGGGCCAGGTTCAAACCCGCCAGCCTCAGTGTATGTGGCCAGTGCTATAACTACTGTACTATGGGTGTCAAGACCCCCACTTTTTTTTGAGACAGAGTCTGACTTTCTTGTCCTCAGTAGAGTGCAATGGCATCATAGCTCACAGCAACTTCAAACTCTTGGGCTCAAGAGATCCTCTTGTCTCAGCCCCTCAATTAGCTGGGACTAGAGGGGCCCACCACAACACCCAGCTATTTTTTCAGAGAAGGGGTCTTGCTATTGTTCTGGCTGGTCTCAAATTTGTGAGCTGAAGCAATCCACCTGCTTTGGCCTCCTAGAGTGATAGGATTACAGGCGTGAGCCACCACACCCGGCCCTAAAATATTTAACTTTGTATAAAAGTGTATGTTATAAAATGTTTTATACTTTATAAAGTGTACTTTATAGTATAAAGAAAGTGAAAAGACAACATAGAAAGTATTTGGAAATCATATATCTGATAACAGACATGTATCCAGAATATATAAAGGACTTCTACAACTTAGTAACAACAAGACAAATAAACCAATTAAAAAATGGACAAAGGGTTTGGCACCTGCAGCTCAGCGTCTAGGCCCTAGACTCTAGGGCGCCATCCAGGTACACTGGAGCTGGTGGGTTCGAATCCAAACAGGGCCTGTCAAACAACAATGACAACTACAACCAAAATGGTGGGTGCCTGTTATCCCAGTTACTTGGGAGGCTGAGGCAAGAGAATTGCTTAAGCCCAGGAGTTTGAGGTTGCTGTGAGCTGTGATGCCATAGCATCTACTGAGGGTGACAAAAGTGAGACTGTCAAAAAACAAAAATTGACAAAGGATTTGAATAGATATTTCTCTGAAGAAGATACATGACGAGCAAATAAGCATATAACTAGATCTCAACATCATTAGTTATTAGGGAAATGCAGATCAAAACAATGAGATACCACTCCCTACCCACCAGAATGACTACAATCAAAAAGACAGATAATAGTGTCAGCAAGGACATAGAGAAATTGGAGGCCTCATGTATTGTTCATGGGAATATAAAATGGTGCCCTGCACTTTGGAAAACAGTTTAGCAGTTTCTCAGTATGTTAAACATAGAGTTTACCATATGAACCTACAATTTCATTTCTTGGTATTCCTCTAAGAGAAATGAAAACATATGGCTACACAAAGACTTACACACGAATGTTCATGGCAGTTTTACGAATAATAACCTAAAAGTGAAAACAACCCAAATGTCCATTGACTGACAAATGGATAAAGAGAATATAGTATATTTATAGAATGGAATACTTGGCAGTAAAAAGAAATGAATTGCTCATACAAGCTACAACTGGGATAATCCTCAAAAATATTAAGCAAAGTGAAGGAAGTCGGTCACAGAGACTACATATTGATACCACATATATCAAATGTCCAGAATAGACAAATCTACAGAAACAAAGTAGATTAGTGATTTCCTAAGGCTGGGAGGTGGAGGGAGAAACGGGGACAATGTGGAGTGACCACTAATGGTTTCAGGGTTTCATTTTGGGGCAATAAAAAGGTTTACAATTGTAGAGATTATTTCAGAACTCTGTAAATATATTAAAAACCACTGCTTTGTAAATTTTAAATGGGCGAACTGTATGGTTTGAGGATTGTATCTCGATAAAGCTCTTAAAAATTCAGCTTGGGACATAATCATTTTCCAAAATACACCTATGACTTCCCTTAAGTAATTCTATTCTGGCGTCCTGGTAGTTAATGAGCGTTTGAGTAAATTCTTGTGGGAAGTCAGAAGCCTCAGAGGTCGGGAACGGCGGCGGAAGAGCCGGGCAGGAAATAGATCAAGCGGTCAGAGCATCTTATTTTCCTCTAGCGTCTCGCAGCGAGGCCACGCCCTTCCCCCGTGTCCTAGCAACCGACTTGCTCTTCCGCAAGGCTCACTCTTTGTCGTCACTTCTGCTCCGCGACAGGAAGTGAGGTCAGACCGGCGGCTTTCCTGAGAGTTTGGTGTTTACTGCGGCTGCAGGCGCTGAATAAGTAGTGTTTTTCGGGGACTGTCGTGCTTTATCTGTCTCCCGGGCCCTACCTCCTACTAGGGGGTGAGGCCCTGGAGGAGGCCTCGGAAGGGTCTAGCGATCCGCGCGGGAGGAAGACGGAGCCCGGGGACGCGTGGCCCCCAGGGCAGGACAGGGTAGGGGGCTGGAGGAGACAGTTCTCTGGATGCCTGTGGAGTATCTTCAGTGTGACTTCGGGCTGGCAGCTGCAGTCCAAGAGCGTTCCGAGTTCTCCGCGGTCCCCTGGAGTTCCTGGAGCTGGGACATTTCTGCGCCCCTCTCCCACCGCCCACCTTCTGTTTTTGAAGGAAGACCCCTCGTAGAGACAACTTCCCTCCCAGCCTTGAAGTGGCTTCCCGAAACATCATTGTGAGCCACGGAGCACCTCTTGACACTTTGCTGAGGCCTAGGGTAAATGTTTATGTATACGCAAGGCCGTGTGTGTGTATGTGTGAGTTAGCAGGATCCTTCATTTGGCAAGTGTGTATTTTGGTCTCCTTTTCTTTAACATCTCCGAAAGGGTTTCTTCCTATCATTGTTGCAGACTACAGAAGTTTGCATCTGCCTTTAGCTGTGTAGGAGGGCCCCGGAGATAACAGATTTTTTGAATCCTACCTTAAGTTTTTCATGAATTGAATGACATATTTGTATTCTTAGGTGATTCTTAGTTTTAAGTTTTTAACTTTTCTGTTTCTCACTTGGAATAAAACTACAGGCTCTTGGAAGGGGCCTGTCATAGAGTGCTTTTGTGATTCTCATAGCCCCAAACACAGTACTGAACATATATCAGGGGTCATTAATATTTTAAAATTAATTAATTAATTAATTAAACAGAGCCTCAAGCTGTCTTCCTGGGTAGAGTGCTGTGGCATCACAGCTCACAGCATCCTCCAACTCCCGGGCTTAACCAATTCTCTTACCTCAGCCACCCAAGTTATCTGGGACCACAGGCACCCGCCACAACCCCCGGCTATATTTTGGTGGTAGTTGTCATTGTTGTTTGGCAGGCCCGGACTGGATTCGAATCTGCCAGCTCTGGTGTATGTGGCTGGTGCCTTAGCTGCTTGAGCTATAGGTGCTGAGCCAATATTTTAATTTTAAATATCTAAAAATACACATTCTAACATTTTTGGCTAAGTGGCCTTAAAAGTGATGATGGGAAATAACAGGTATTCTTAGGTATGATAACATTAGGTAAAATAACAAGCATTCTTAGATAAAATAACAAGATCTTTTTAGATAAATGGGTATGAAATTTAGAGGCTGCCCAGGTTAGGTACAGTGTCTCAGTGGAAGAGAAATATGATGTATCTTTTCAGAAGAGACCAAATCATTATGTTTCATTGCATCTTTGTTTCTTGTCTTTTTTCTTTCTTTTTAAAAAATAGGTGTTATATCCTAACTTATTGACCCAGAGGTACTTGCCGTTATGGGAAATCAGCTTGCTGGAATTGCACCTTCCCAGATCCTTTCTGTGGAGAGTTATTTCTCAGATATTCATGACTTTGAGTATGACAAAAGCCTGGGGAGTACTCGGTTTTTTAAGGTTGCTAGAGCAAAGCACAGAGAAGGCCTGGTGGTTGTGAAGGTTTTTGCAATTCAGGATCCTACATTGCCTTTAACTAGCTATAAACAAGAGCTGGAGGAACTGAAAATCAGGCTTCATTCTGCACAGAACTGTCTGCCTTTCCAGAAAGCAGCAGAAAAAGCCTCCGAAAAAGCAGCTATGCTCTTTAGGCAATATGTACGAGATAACCTCTATGATCGAATCAGTACTCGTCCGTTTTTAAATAACATTGAGAAGCGCTGGATTGCTTTCCAGATCCTGACAGCTGTGGACCAAGCACACAAATCTGGAGTTCGTCATGGGGACATCAAAACTGAGAATGTGATGGTCACCAGTTGGAACTGGGTTCTTCTGACTGATTTTGCAAGTTTTAAACCCACTTATCTTCCAGAAGACAACCCAGCAGATTTCAACTATTTTTTTGACACTTCACGGAGAAGAACATGCTATATTGCTCCGGAACGTTTTGTTGATGGTGGGATGTTTGCTACTGAGTTAGAATATATGAGAGATCCTTCAACTCCACTTGTAGACTTAAATAGCAATCAGAGAATAAGAGGAGAGCTGAAGAGAGCAATGGACATCTTTTCAGCAGGTATTTGAACTGGTCAAGTTTTCTAAGGGGCATGTGTTTGTATTTTAACTGTCAAACATAGAAATGTAGCTTTTTTTTTTTATCACCAGATATTGAAGAATTAGTTTCTTGGTATGACCTTATACCCTATTTCCGATAGATATAGCATTCTTACATTGGACATGTTTAAGTGCCTAAAAAATGGAAGGATTAGCTTTTTTCATTCAAACATTTGAAATATTTGAATGTTTACTTCTATTTTATGTGTCAGGCACTGTCCTAAGTGCTAGGGACATAGACGGATAAGATACATCCCTTGTTCAAGATGCTTCCAGCTTTAATGTGACACTTCATATTGAAAAAGGACATTTCAGTGCGGTGTTATTCGCTGTGGTGGTGATAGAATATAGAGTGCTACTATAGATGCTTAATCTCCACAGTGGTGATGAGCTGAGAGGCTGGGTTGAGAAAGGCCTCTTTAGAAGAATGACATTTGAGTTAAAACCTTAAAAATGATTAGGGGGTTAACTTTGGCAGATAGTTTGTTTCAGGCAGAAGGTGTTGCTTTACAAAGGCTTAAAGAACAGGGCATTATGAACTGATGTATTAGGGTACTTCATTTAGGTTAGTGTATCTGGAATATGGGATGTGGTGTAAGCAAGGCCCAGATCAGAAGGGGTTTGGCCTAACTGTTGTAACATGTAGAGTGCATTGCAGGGGATCTACACTGGAGACAGGAGAAGAAGTAAGGAGAAAACTGTCACAGTCCAGGTTGTGACTGGCTTAAGGTTGTGGCAGAGTTGGAAGGAGTTAAGAGAAGTGGTAATGCTTAAGAGGTTAGATAGAATTGTTAGGTCTTTGTGATAGTCATTGATTGGTAGATCAAGTCATGAACACTTCCCTCTCTACTTGGGAAACCAGCGGATGGTGATGCTGGTCCCTGAGATAGGAGACACAGGAGGAAGAACAGGCAGGTAGGGGTGGGAAGATGATGAGGTCTGTCTTAAGGTAAGTTGGAGGCTTCTGGCGGGTTGCAGGAGATGTACACCAGGCAGTTGGATATACGTAAATGTTTGGTGCATAGGAATTGGGGATGGAGATTTGGTAGTTATTATTTTCTTTTTCTTTCTTTTTTTTTTTTTTTGAGACAGTCTCACTATGTCAACCTGGGTAGAGTGCTGCAGCGTCACAGCTCACAGCAACTTCCAACTCTTGGGCTTAAGCGATTCTCTTGTCTCAGTCTCCCAAGTAGCTGGGACTACAGGTGCTCGCCACATTACCCGGCTGTTTTTTTAAGGTTGTAGTTGTCGTTGTTTGGCAGGCCTGGCCTGGATTTGAACCCACCAGCTCCTGTATGTGGCTGGCACCCTAGCCGCTGAGCTACAGGCACCGAGCTGAGATTTGGGAGTAATTAGGAAATAAATAATAATTGTAGCGAGGAGGAATTTGTTGAGAAGTGATTCTTAAGCTTTTTTGGGCCCTGTTAAAGAATTTAGTAAAGTCAATGGAGTTTTTCTCTAGAAAAATGTACCATGTATTTATATAAATTATTTCACAGAGTCCGCATGAAGCTGGACCATATCCATTTTATCTAAGAAGTTTTGAGATGGAGAAGAGAAGTTGGTTGAACATGTTACTCTGAGTCATGGCCAAAGAACTCTGATAGTAATGCCATTTTTGGTAAAATTTGCCATAGTTTGGCTTAATTTTTTTCTTACTTATAGATTTGCTACCGGAAAACATAAATTGAGCCAAATTTTAGATTATTGAAGTAGTAAAATAATTAATGGAGAAGTGTTTTTCATTGAGGGGAATGAATTATAATGGTTACGTAGGATTGTACCTATATTGGTCCATTCAGCACACTAATCTGTGTCCCAGGATGTTACTGAGGGATATTTTTGATTAGATAGTGTTAGCCTCCAGGTTGTAAATATAGTTAACAAGGTTAGAAATCTAGCCCATTAGAATCCTTCAATTTTTCTTGAACTACAGTATTTTTACATTTTAAACTTATTTACTTTTCTGTAATCCTTTAGCTTAGAAATCTGATCGCTTTTAAGCTTCAGGGGATCATTCATAATTTTAAAATTTCAGTGGTTGATGAGTTTGCATTTGTTCTTTTATGTGTGCGTTACAGTTTTGTAAACGTCAACGAAATTCTTTCTAAACATTTATTTTTACAACCTAAAGAGTCCTGCATTATTTTGGCTGAAGGTAGGTTCTTCCATTCCTTTGTAGGAGAGGTGGGTGGCATCTGTCCACTGCCTAGAGCTCTTAAGATTTGAATCTTTGGGTTTTGAATGTTTCTTTCTCCCTTTGTTTCATTCAACCTTGTTTCATTATAAAGTTGATGAGAAAAAAAACTGGTTTTGTTGTATGTCATTTTACTTAAAGTCAGTTTCTTATAACCTGTTGACAGCATTAATTGGGGACTTAGTGTGTATATTCTTCTGGCTTTGGTGATATACATGGGTATAATCTTGTGTGCTGGGGATCCTTCGGTGTCTTGACAAATATTTAAGTGTACTATGTGGAAGACACTGTCATGTAGGTTTGGGGAATACAGCTAACAAAGTTTTTGTCCTCATATAGCTTGTATTCTGGTAGGGGGAGAGATGGAATAAATGAATAAATAAAGTTACTTTTGGTTAGAGATAAGTGATATGGCCCACTAGGATGATAGAACTGAAAAGACTGGTAGGGCATTACTTTAGATAAAATGGTCAAGGAAGATCTCTCTGGGAAGGTAACTTTTGAGAGCTGAGATCTGAATGATAAGAACTCAGTGATGATAGTGACAACTTGAAGAAGTTGTTCCATTGGGAAATACCACCCCATTACAACTTATTCTAGAATAAAATTCTAAAAGTTGCAAAGAAAAAAACTTACACATTCACCTCTGTATTTGTTTGTTAGGACTACCGTAACAAATACCAGACATAAGATAGCTTAAACAAAATTTTACTGTTCTAGAGAATAGAATTCTAAGATCAGGATGCTGACAGGGTTGGTTTCTCCTGAGGCCTCTCTTGGCTTGTAGGCAGCCACCTCTCATTGTGTCCTCATAAGGCTTGCTCTGTGAACAGGAATCTGTGGTGTACCTTCTCGAAAGGACTCAAACCAAAAAAACCTTAAGAATTTTCAGACTTTGAAACTTGCAAAACTAAGAATAGAAGAAAGAACACTCCTGTATTCTTTACTTGGATTCATCTGTAACATTATTTTTTTAACCCCAGTTACTGTATCAGTTGTACCTTTTCTCTGTGTTCCACCCCTCCTCCCCCATTTTCCCCTAACCTTATGAAGGAAGTTAGATACATGGTGGTCCTTTACCCTAAAGTACAGAGTGGATATAAAGTTCGTGAGCAATTTAAAACAGTTTAACATAGTAAATTGCCTCGAACTTTATGGATACTCTGTATCCATAAAGTACTTCAGTGTATATTTTCTGAGATTAGGAATAGCCTATTAATGTAACACAATATAGATATTAATTATAGTAAATTCAGCATTGATGCAATAATTTACACTTCCCGTTTTGTTGTTGATCCAGTAATGCCCCTTATAGTATTTTTCCTGACTTATAAGGACCTCATCTAGGATCAGGTACTGCATTTAGTTGTCATATCTCTATAGGTTCCTTGAATATGGAACATTGCTACAGCCTTCTTTTGTCATTATTACATTTTTTTTAAGAATCTTTCCTTCTCTAAATGTTTAATTTTCTTTAACTTTTTATTTTGAAGTGATTGTAGACTCAAAGGAAGTTTTAAAAATAGCGAAGTATCTTTCACCTAGCCTCCCCCAATGGTAACATTGTATATGATTGTAGTACTATCTCAAAATTACGATTTGACATCAGGGCATTGCTGTCTTACTAGCACAGACCTTATTCAGTCTTCATCAGCTTCTGTGTGCATTATGTTTGTATCACGTCACCTCTTTTTCTTTCTTTTGGTTGTAGTTTTTGGCCAGGGCCGGATTTGAAACCACCACCTCCGGTATATGGGGCTGGTGCCCTACTACTTGAGCCACGGGCACCTCCCGCGTTACCTCTTTTGCAATAGAACATTTTTCATGATTCAGTTTATTCTTAGCAGGGATACTGCATATGTAATGATGTGTTTTCATAGGAGACAAATGATGTTTATTGGTGATATTAATTTTAATCACCTGGTCAAAGTCTTCCTGAATTTCTCTCCTCTATAGTTACTTTTTGTTTATTTGATCTCTTGCGACTAATAAGCAACCAATGGGAAGAGACGTTAAGAATGTTCAAATGTCCTGCTCACCATTCCAGTTTATCCCTTGACATCCATTTGACATGCACTGATGCTTCTTGCCTGATGCAGTTTTTGCTGTGACGGTTGCAAAAATGACAACTTTCCAACTCACATACTTCTTCCACATTTACCAGTAGGATTTCGACATTCTACTCTTAAGTACCTTCTCTTTCCCACCATTTACAGGCTGCATTGTTGTGTCCTTATTACAGTGCTCATTGTTCTTCTTCTTTTTTTTTTTAAAGAACATTTTCTTATTTTCTGGCATAATATATTGTACTTACCTTGCCCCAGTGCTAGAACCAGCCATTTCTTCAAGGAGCCTGAGTTATTTTAGTGTGTAATGAGTGATATTAAAAGTGGCCATCTAGTGCACTTTGTTAGCGTGTCTTTGTTATTTGGCTCTTAAAGCAGACAGAGCTAGGCAATGTGTATATATGCGTGTACATGTGTGTATACACACAGATTTACATACCCGCATATTTATACATACTGCGTATACATTTGTGTACACATACATATGCCTAGATTTCAAAGTCATGAATTCACACTGAGTCTTGTAATTCCAGTCTATTCCCACAGAGTTCTTTTTTGCTTTTCTCTACTCTCTATTCATAAGTTTTTTCTTTCACAGTGACCACTCAGGTTTCAGCATTATTAACACATTTGCTCAATCCTGTGATGATTTTAGAATTGCTTCACCTAGACAGCTATAATATGTGTCTACTAAAAAGA